ATTAAGTAAACGCGGACCTCGAAGAAGACACCCATTGACTTGCCTGTTTGAAACAATATCAAATATTAACAAAAAACGTTATTTAATCATAATAATCGATCATAGTTTCTTACAACACTTCATCGAACGCAAGTCATCTCATGAATATTGTTGACGGCTCATGAATATTATTGCAGGCTGGCCTCATGAATATTAACGCCGGCTGTTATCGACGGCTAGCTTCACACTAGTGCCATTATTCATTAGTCAGTCACATTATCCAACCCTCAAGTTTAAGATTTTTTTTGGTCATATTTTTTTTTTAAATCAATGAGAAATAAGTTCGACGTGAACGTTTAGTATAGAGTGAGGACAGAAAACTAAAGACAAATCATAACTATTAACTATTGTTAATCCACAAAAAAGAGTAATTTTATAATTTCTTAAAGAATTTTTAACTTCAGATCGGTCGTCATCACTGTTCGTCATTAACCCGAATAATCCAGTTGTTATATATCGCTCAATACGATCACCAAAGGAGGAGAGAATCGGAGATGGTACGGGTTTGAATTATTACAGTAATGTCTTCATAAACAACTACTGTTACGTTATACAATTTCACGTTTTCTGACATAATACATGCAGGACAAATTTGAACATGTAAACAGGTAAAGGTGAAACGATAAGTAGAAAGCTGACATGTCAGCAAGGGCCCCGCTGGTATATTTGATTTTATTTTGATTTTTGGTGTTTTAACGCCACTTTAAAGCACCGCTTTTGGGCTATTTCGTGGCGGCCAGTTTTAATTGGCGGAGGAAGCCGGAGTGCCCGGAGAAAACCACCGACCTTCGATAGGAAAACTGACAATCCTAGTCAATTAAGATTGGAGTCGAGTGCACCCGCACGAGCGGGGTTCGAACTCACAACCTCAGTGTTTGACTGGCTAGTGATTACAGTAGTAACTACTTAGACCACTCGGCCACCGAGGCCCCCTAGTATATTTGTGTAAGGCACAGAAGCAAATGATTTATACTGATGCAAACAAAGCAAGTCGCCACGCTGTTTCGACCTTTTGCTGCTACAAGAATGGAAAATATGCTACATGGCACATGTCTTCCAGCAAAAGATTGGCAAGATATAGTAAAATTGAGAATGGAAACGGGGAATGTGTCAAAGAGAAAACAACCCTACCAAAGTGCAGAAAACAGCTCAAGGCCACCAATGGGTTTTCAACCTCGCGAGAAAATATAGTGCATATTTATAATAACCATCTCCTTTTATCATGGTCAGATACCTTAAACCAGCTACATGTATGTAGGCAAGAGTCACCAGCAGTTTCAACTTTGTCCTATTAAAAAAATGGATGACAAGCAAAAATAACACTACATGTTAAAAAATGAAAAAAAAAATCAGCTTGCACATTTTACACATGGAATCAATTTGGAGTAGTATAATTTACCCACATATAAAGTTTTATGGCAATTCTAAAAAGAAGTTTCACAGAAATTATGATAATATTTGTCACTGATTTTTTTAACAAAAAGTTTTCCCAAATAAATGAGCCGAATTTCAACAAAATGAAATATGCATATCTACATATTATGCACAACTGTGCCTCCTACCTTTACTTTTGGAGTTTATGCGTTTACAAAAATTGTTGACGGACAGACGGAAAAAATAAAAAATATAGTGAAGGGCTCCCGCATCAAATCGAATTTCGTTAGATGCAATAAAAATGACCACTCCATATCATAATAAGTGTTAGAGGTAAATTGGGTGGTTGGGGGGGGGGGGATAATTTTGTGTTAAAAAAAATTGTAATTACTCTAAAACACTCTTCACTCAAACTTTTTGTTAGAAGTTCAAAAACCTAAATGTCTGTATTTGAATAGTTTTTTTCGATCTCAAATCAACGTATTAAAGCGTTGATTTGTTAACATATAATACACGGATAAATAGCAAAATCATTTCTTAAAATGCTACAAAAAATCATTCTGATAATTTCAGTGGTATTGTCATAAAGTGCGTTTAAGTGAACCATAGTATAGCAAACATGGAGTTCCCTCATAAATTCTTATCACACACTAACCACGTCATTCATCCACAAAAGAAGTTACATGTTTATGTGGAAAGAACGTGCACCAAATAAATCGTGTAAGACAATTTCATTTCTTTTTTATTGAATTTGAACTCCTGGTTAATTCTTCATGTTTTGGCAGTATTTTTTTTGTTCAGCAGGTTTATTATTTACATGTCCTCAGGTCCATGTTGATTGTGAAGCTACTAACATGGCTATGTAGGTTTGGGCGTTCCTGATGAAGGTAATTCCAGGAAAGTGAAATATATTAATTATTATTTTCATTTAGACATTTTAGACATTAAGGGGAACAGAAGTCAAGAACAACTTTTGCATAGTGGTATATCTATTTATTTGAATGGAGTCAGCAAGGTATTAACTATCACATGACAGGGTATTAGCTATCACATGACAATGATGTTCTTCCGTTTCTTCCAGTTAACAAACGTAAAAAGTAGCAAAAATATTGAGATCACGATGTTATAGCTATATATTCTATCTTTTTATACGGGAAAGGAGTTCTATTTGTTCTCTGAACAGTTCTTTTTCAAAGTTTTTATTAATTATGAAAATAATTATTGGCAATTTATAGGAGTTGATTTAAAAGTACTTTTGCATACTTATAATATTGTACCAAATAAACATCTATTCCAACCATACAATTCAAATCATGCAACATATAAAAAAAATCAGAAGGTATTTGCACGTGTGAATAAAGAAAGATAACTCAAAAAACATTATGGAGCATGTATAAAATCAGACAAATAATACATGTAATGATTTGGCGAGAGAGTTGATAAACAGGCACACGCCCGACACCTTTTTTTGTGAAAGATTTATCGATTTTCGTTCATGTGCGTATAATAACTGAATGTATAGTAGCTTTGCAACTGTTTTTTACGATGACTGAACCTTTTTCCTAATCGTGTAGTATTTGCTGATTCCCATAGTATAAGTTGCGACAGTAAGCAATTGTCTTATCTTTTTCATCGTCAATCGTTCGTTTGTTGTTTCAAATTTCATATTTTCAGAACTTGTGACCACAAGGTCAAGCTGAAAATTTACAGGAAAATTGCATGGAGGATCAAGTAAAACAATCATCAGCATACATGGCATATTTGATATCCTGTAATTTCAAAGTTCCGGGATACATTCCTGTTCCCCTACTAGGGCTTAGGCCCCCGACTAAATTTAATAAGTCCTCGATCCGATAACAAAGCACAAAACTTAATTCAAAAAGCATTTAAAACGTATAGAACCCCATTATTCAAAATATTCGAACTTGTATTGTCTCAGACATTTAAGCAGACTTTAAATTTCTTAATGCATAACAATCTTTCCAGAAAAACTAACTTGAAAAGTATATATGACATTTGATTAGGTTTCATTAGATTTTTAACGGAAAATATGTATGGGAAGTTTGCATAGTTAGCATCATACATGTATGCTGTATCGTTATACGGATGCAGTAACATCGTTATACGGATGCAGTAACATCTCGGTGTTTGTGATGTGTGGACATTATTTTCCAGTTAAAGGATTTTTATGGGATGATTAATTTTTCGTTACTTTCACGTATCTCATTTAACTTAGGGATAGATGCATATAAAGGCACTTGCCTCAGAATTTTGTTTATACCTTTATAACACAGATTTTGTTTTTACCTACATGTATGTACCTTTATATAAAATATATCGGTAAAAATAATTCTGGAGACAATTGCTCATGGATTGATAGGGTTCATTTATGTAGTCAAATCAATTTTATTGCCAATCTGAATCAAAGTTTTTTTGGTCGCGTCGTTTTTCTACAATTCATATTTTAAAGTAAATGTCTTTTGTCACTCAACGAATGACGAGTTGGTAAAAACAAGAATATACGCGTTGTCGTGATAAACATACCCCCACTCATAATTCAAAATATCGGAAAACAGGAAGCAGGTGTCTGACAGATCCGAAATACACGTTACAACTGATCACTGTTAAGCTGCTGATTAAATATGAAGTTATTCTGTTGAGTAGTACTTGAGAAAAATGCCACAAAAAAATTTAAGCTCGTTCAAAAATGTGAAAGATTCACAGTATCAGCAAAGAGGAATTATATGTCTTAAAGATCTGAAAAGAGGTCACATATTACAACACATCACTGTCAAGCTTGGCAAGCTTCTGACCAAATATGAAGTCATTCTGTAGTACCTGAGAAAAGTGTGACGAATACATATAATGGACGAAGAAGGTGAATGCAATATAGCCCCTACTCTCCTAGAGAGGGGGCATAAAACACAAATTTGAAATGCAATCAAAACGTGGAACATAAAATGTTCCCTTTATATATATATTGGTTATGTCTGTAAGTTGTGGGGTATACGCAATGTTTAAACAAAAGTTGTGAATACAATCAAAAACCTGCCATCAACACCAAATCTGGTGAATTGTTGTCTCATTGACAATCATATCATATCTTATTTTTAAATTTAAAACATTATTATAAGATATAAAGAAAGACAACCTCTGGCGAGAATCACGATATATTTGACTAATTTCACAAGATCTCAACCTGTCCCGTTTTGTCTTGACAAGTGTTTTACTAAACACATCAGTACAACAAAAGCCTTAAATTCGAATTAGTTTCCTCTAAACTGGAAGGTTTGGTAGACTTTCTAATTGTTTTTTTTTCAAAACTGGTTCCAACCTACCGGTTTTTCATTTGTTTCTTAAAAAAAGAAACCAGATTCCTAAACTTAATAAATTTCTTGGTGTGATTTATACAGTTTAACAAACCAGTGTCAGACCAGTGTACAGTAAACATAAATCCTTTCTTTTCCAATAAAATTATTTTTTCCTTGAGATAACAATTTTAGTTATATTGTTAAAGCATCACTATTGATGCATTTACTTTAGTTCACTCATCAGTCATATGAAGAAATAAATGAAACATACATGTATACGTTTAACAATTTATTATCATAACAAATTCTTAACTGAACTTATATGATTCAACAACAATCATTAAAACAATTGATAAAAAGTGAGGTAGCAAACAGAATATAAAAGTATAAAAAAAATAAGAATTCATCAAATTGTTTCTACTATTTAATCAACTTCTTCCACAGTAGGCCCACCGGCAGTATTCTGACTTTTATTTTGTCCGCTTGGTTCGTTTTGAGCACCGCCATGAAGTTTTGTCATAACTGGGGTACATATTTTCTGGAGTTCTTTCATTTTGTCCTCATATTCCTCTTTCTCTGCCAGAGAATTATGATCCAACCATTTAAGCAATTCTTCACAAGCGTTGGATACATCGTCTTTGTCCTGTGTTGACAGTTTATCACCCGAGTCTCCTATAGATTGTTTAACACTGAATATATAGTTTTCTAGTTGATTTCTTGCTGTGATACGCTGCTTTTGTTTTTCATCTTCATCTTTATATTTCTCAGCATCAGAAACCATACGATCTATGTCCTCTTTACTGAGCCTTCCTCTGTCGTTTGTGATTGTTATTTTCTTTGAATTTCCTGTGCTTTTGTCTTGAGCTGATACATTCAAAAGTCCATTTGCATCAATATCAAATTCTACTTCAATCTGAGGCACACCGCGGGGAGCTGGTGGAATACCTGTTAGATCGAATTTTCCTAGATGATTATTGTCTTTGGTCATTGCTCTTTCACCTTCAAAAACCTGAATACTAACTGCTGGTTGGTTGTCTGAATACGTTGAAAATGTCTGTGAGGCCTTTGTAGGGATCTTTGTATTCCTGTCAATCACTTTTGCCATAACGCCACCTGCTGTTTCAATACCAAGGGACAGTGGAGCTACGTCTACTAAAAGTACATCTTTGATGGTGTCGCTACGATCGCCTGACAGGATAGCTGCTTGTACGGCTGCCCCATAGGCCACAGCTTCGTCTGGGTTAACAGATTTGTTCAGTTCTTTTCCATTCATAAATTCTGACAGCATTTTCTGTATTTTTGGTATTCTTGTTGAACCTCCGACAAGTACAATCTCTTGAATACTACTTTTATCGAGTTTAGCGTCTCTTAAAGCTTTTTCAACTGGTTCAAGTGTTGTTCTGAACAAATCTGAGCACAGTTCTTCAAATCGTGCTCTGGTTACCTTTGTGTAAAAGTCAATACCCTCAAATAATGAATCAATTTCCACACTTGCCTCTGTGCTGCTTGATAAGGTTCTCTTTGCTCTCTCGCATGCAGTTCTCAGTCTTCTGATTGCACGATTATTCCCAGTAATGTCCTTTCCACACTTTCTCTTGAATTCATTTACAAAATGATTGACCATTCTGTTGTCAAAGTCTTCGCCTCCAAGGTGAGTATCTCCTGCTGTGGAGCGAACTTCGAACAATGAACCCTCGTCTATCGTAAGAATTGAAACGTCAAATGTTCCTCCTCCTAAATCAAATATCAAAACGTTTTTCTCGCCTGATAAATTCTTCTCAAGACCATAAGCTAAAGCAGCAGCCGTTGGTTCGTTTATTATCCTCATAACGTTAAGTCCTGCAATAATGCCTGCATCTTTTGTTGCTAATCTTTGAGAATCATTAAAGTATGCAGGTACTGTGATGACGGCATCTGTAACTTTCTTTCCAAGATATGCTTCAGCAGTTTCTTTCATTTTTACCAAAATCATTGAACTTATTTCTTCTGGGGTAAATGTTTTTGTTTCTCCTTTGTATTCAGATTGTAGTTTTGGTTTCCCTCCATTGTTGATGACTTTGAATGGCCAGTGTTTCATATCTGACTGAACTGTTGAATCACTAAAGTTTCTGCCTATCAGTCTCTTGGCATCGAAAATTGTATTTTTAGGGTTCATTGCTACTTGGTTTTTAGCTGCATCACCAACAAGTCTTTCAGTATCCGTGAAAGCCACATAACTTGGAGTTGTTCTGTTCCCCTGGTCGTTGGCAATAATGTCTACTTTTCCATGTTGGAAAACACCAACACAAGAATAAGTTGTTCCAAGATCAATTCCAATTGCTGGACCTTTTCCTTTCATTTTTGTTTCACTGTTGTCTACGTTTAATAATCTGAAAAGATAAAAAGCTAATTTATTTTATATTCGATTCAGTATAAAATTTTAAGTTACTAAATGTAGAAACCACCAACACTTCCTCTGTGTGTGAAAAAAAGAAGAAACAAACTCTGTGAGTTGTCATTGAATTTCTGTTTGGTTTACTCTGAGGTAGTATTTGGATCTTCCGCAATCTTGGATCTTAAAATAGCCGTGGATTTATAAAAAAGTGAGCAAATTTTGCGGAGAAAACATTTTCGCAGTAATGATAAAATCTATCTTCTCTTATTATATTTCAAATTCTGTCATTAAATTTTTCTTTCTTGCAAAATGTGTCAATATTTCACTTTTTGGCAAAAACATGAGTAAAAGTTGCGTTTTTGATAATTTTGTGTAGCCCCATACTACCTTAAACAGTAATGGCGCATATTGTGGAAAAATAACTAACAATGATTTAAGTAAATAATATTTTCCTTTAAAATTAATTGTTTATATGATTTTTGTCCAATTTTAATCAATGGTAGAAATACAATATTTCTTCAAAGACTTCAAATTGGTTTTTTTTTTCGAATGAAAGATTTATACTATATAATAGTAGATAGTAAATAGAATAATTTCAATTCAACAATATTAATCAATTTACGAAGACAAAAAACAAATACCTAGCAGTAAATCAAATATATTAGGTTATATATATTCAGATCTCTGATATATTCATTGAAAAAAAAATAAGAAATTATAATTACTTACCACAATAACAATGGTTTTCTTTCCGGCTCTTCTGTATGTAAAAGTTTTGCTGTAACTCTAAGTATCTATCCAAGTAACTTTGTTATTTCTCAATTGATTCCTTCCTTTGCAGTACCGCTTTATATATACACAAAACGAGAGTTCGCGATCATTCAGGAAAATGTTTAAATTTAGAAAATTATTTTTAGTTCGATATTCTCTAAAATTACCGTTTCTGATATATAATAAAATCCAATAATCTCGAATGAAATTGGAATGTTATTTCTATTTTTAGCATTGTAAACGTAAACATCACGAATAACTTCTCGAATATTGTCGAAAGTTGTAGATTATACAGTGATTAACTTCCCAATAAGATTTTTTTTAAAAGACCAAGTCCTTCTAGAATACATTAAAGACACATCTAGAAAGGAAAAGAAAAAGAATTGGCATTTTTAAACATGCCCAGGAAAATATTTTTAATTTCCATTTCTTGGTATATCAAGAATAGAAACTAGTGAGCTTTTTGTACAGACGTAGAAAAATATATAAATTAATTAAATATAGAAGTATCTGTATAAAATTTAAAGTTAAAATATTATGTCAGAATCATAGGTACTTGAGGACAGGACAATTTATTTAAGGCCTCCCCCTTTTTTCCAAAATCTATAAATAACGTGTATTTGCTGTTTACTATCAATTCCAAGTTAACTATCCACAGCGGTCACTGCCTTTCTCTCTGTATAATGATATATCAGTGACCACTGTGGATGGTAAACTTGGAATTGATAGTAAATAGCAAATACAAGTTATTTCTAGTAAATTAATGTTCATATGATACAGAAAAGCGAGAAAATAATTGAAATTAATAGAAAAAAAGGGAATTCGGAAAAAAGGGAGGCATAAAAAAAAAATTCCTGTCACCAGGTACCTATGGTCAGAACTTTGCATTTTAAAATTCATGTATGGTGAATCCACAGGCGCTTGGTGAATGATGCCACTTTTTTTGTACTTGAATTTGCGAGTATAAAAATTATTTGTTTTAGTATTACACCTTATTTTCACCTTTGTAATGTGTTCTTGCTAATAACAATAGTTTATATGTGCTAGCTGTCTCTCTCTATTGAACAGTTTTCCACCGTCTTTTATTATAGTTTTAACGATAATTTCCAAATCTTAAAACATTGACAAAGCTTGTAAGTTAAGGACAATTATTCGATCATATATCATTTGTAGATCTTTATTTGCTGATAGTTTTCACTGTCACAGTTTCCCTCTGGCTATTTTACATGTAGTTTAAAAATAATAAATAAAAAACTTCAAACAAAAAATGGCATTTCAGGGCAATAACTCCTATATAAACATATCAGTAATCGTCTGAAAGTTTTTGGGAAAATGGAAATTTTCTGAAATTTTGCACCAGTTCTTTATTTATTTTGGTTTTCAAATTATTTCACAATTTCTTGCATTTAACCCTGATGTTCTATTTTTAGCCATGGTGGACATGTTGGTTGATCTGGCTGGAACAAAAAACACAAGGTTTATACTAGATACCCTAAGGAGCATTCAGCCCAGGATTGCAAATTGAAATCGGTCCAGTAATTTTGGAGATTTTAAGATTTTTTTTAGAAGTTTACCGCGACGGAAGACTAGGACTACCTCAGACAAAAAGTGATGGCAATAGCTCACATTATCAATAGGGCCTGGTGGGCAAATAAAGGAGGGGAGCGCTCAAACCTGACAATCTTTTAACGGCTATATAGATTTTTTACGGAACAAAGAACATGATTTTTCAAGCCCCCCCTTTTCACACCAACCCTACTCCAAATGGGCCTCCAATAAGTAGACATACAATTCTAAAGACCAATCGAATTATTTGTAAATCTATTTTAATGTTTTTACAGTTTCTCTCTACCCATTTACATTTTCAAAATAATGTCCAAAAACATTAAAAACAAAAGTTATCTTCAAAGGATAATTACTCTATCACGGATTAACTTGATTGAAGGTTGCAGTCATATCAGCATTTTAGTAGATCTTGTATTGCTGGTCACTTTTTAAAGTTTCATGATAGTTTGTTTTTTAATTAAGCTTTGAATATAATAAGCAAGGACACACAAATATATAAAACATAGGGCAAAATCTCCTTTAAGAAGTCCATTGATGATTTCTATAATTTCATGATTATCGTAGTCCTTGTATTTGATAATGTTTGCCGTTTACAATTTCTGTCAATCTATAATAGTTTTCAATATAATATTTGATAATACTAATGTTTGCCTCCAAATTAAGAGCCATCCAATGGCAACAAAGTTTTAGAAGGAGTTATCCAATAGTTTCGGCCATGTTAGCATTATAAATAGATAATTTTTGCAGTTTGCAGTTTATATCTTTCAGATTGTATAATTTATTTTGCTAAAAAATAATCAATTCTGATAAAGGTCATTTTTTTTGCAGAGATATTTGACTTTCGATTCTATACGACGTAGTTTAATCTTTGAAATATATCAATCGTTTAATGATTGATATATTTCAAGAGCAAAGATTAAACTACGCCGTGAAGAATCGAAATCATTTCTTATTTAAAGTGGCGTATATTTGTGTGATTAGGCAACAATATTTCGTAGGTAACAGATAATAAACTAGAGGTGCTGGCATATTTTCTCAAATTAATATAATATATAATAAGATTCTCAAACAAGCAATCTAATTATAAATTAAAATATTACGTCTTTTTATATATCTTTTATGCATTTCATTTGTTAATGGTCACTGAACCCTCTCAAAGATTCAGGCTCGTACTGATAATGCCCAGGATTACCCAGTGAAACCTGGGTTTCCCATTATTTTTCACTGGGCTGGGCAGTACTCATAAAACCCAGGTTTTTGCCAACCCAACAAATGGATGATACCTCATATAAGAATTTTGGTCATGTTTGACTTGGGTAGATCTTGTCTTGCTCTTTAAATTTCTATCAATCTAATAAAACTTAGTAGCTAAAATGTAATAAGGGAATACAAGTCATTTAAGGGCATAAACTCAAATTGACATTCCATTTATGTTAACATATTTTGTTATCTTGTCTTGCTGATCGTCGTTTGCGTGGCAGGCATAATTGCCACAATCTTTAATCAAAGTACTGAAGTACTGAACATCGGATGACCGCAAGTTCTGGTGGATGGTCACAAGCACTTGTCTCAGAAAAAAAATTATATCTCTATACCTGAAAGTTTGGTTTAGGTACATAGATTCATTTTTATGCCCCCGCCGTAGCGGTGGGGGCATTAAGTTTTACCCTTGTCCGTCTGTACGTACGTACGTCCGTCCGTACGTCCCAAAATTGGTTTCCGTTCTCTAACTTGAGTTTGCCTCAACCAAATGTTATGAAACTTTTACACAATGATTATTTTCACAAAACACAGATCAAGTTTGAATTTTGGTGGCGTCACTTAAACCGTTCTAGAGTTATGCCCCTTTATAAATGGAAAAATTGCAAAATTTTTCGTTTCCTGCCGTTCTCTAACTTAAGTTTGCCTCAACCAAATGTTTTGAAACTTATACACAAGGCTTATTACCTACAAAACACAGATCAATTATGAATTTTGGTGGCCTCACTTTAACCGTCCTAGAGTTATGCCCCTTTATAAACGGAAAAATTGCAAAATTTTTAGTTTCCGTCCTCTAACTTAAGTTTGCCTCAACCAAATGTTATGAAACTTATACACAAGGCTTATTACCACAAAACACAGATCAAGTATGAATTTTGGTGGCGTCATTTTAACCGTTCTAGAGTTATGCCCCTTTATAAATGGAAAAATTGCAAAAATTTTAGTTTCCGTTCTCTAACTTAAGTTTGCCTCAACAAAATGTTATGAAACTTATACACAATGCTTATTACCACAAAACACAGATCAAGTTTGAATTTTGGTGGCTTCACTTTAACCGTTCTAGAGTTATGCCCCTTTATAAATGGAAAAAATTGCAAAATTTTTATTTTCTTCTAAATATCAAGTTATTTTTAAAATTGGAGTTATCTTCCTTTGTCCATGATTATAGTTGAATCAACTACAATGAATGCTTTATACAATGCAATGTTTAATTTTGACTTCCACTGATAAAACACAGATCAAGTTGAATTTGGGTAGTGCCACTTTAACCATTATTGAGTTATGCCCCTTTATAAATAGAAAAATTGCTGAATTTTTAGTTTCTGTTCTCTACTTAAGTTAGCCTCAACCAAATGTTATGAGACTTGCACACAAAACTCAGATCAAGTTCAAATTTGGGTAGCGTCACTTTAACTGTTCTTCAGTTATGTCCCTTTATAACTATATGATATGCAAGCGGGGGTATCATCTGTGTCCACATGTGGACACTATCCACATTTATTTTTTCTGAGACAAGTTCTTCTGTGGATGATGAATGAATGACAGGGAATTAAACCTCACCGTAATAATTATTATATTGTAGTGATATCATATGTTATCAGTATACTCTGGTTTGTTGTTATATATTATATTGATATTTATATAACAGTTATACCTATAGCAGATCATCTTAATAACTCTGCAGGCAAATTTTCAGCCATTTGTATATCATTCTATTCTACTATTCGAATGACAGTGCAGTGCAAGTGCATGATGGACACTCTTCTGTAATAATTCGTGTTTCTAATAGACTGGATTTGAGTAGGCATATATATTTTCCCGCTTTTGTTGCAAAACGTACTCGAGATATTCTTCCGCATGCGAAAACACAAATTTTCGGTATTCATCATTTGTTATTGATAAATATATTTCTCACGACAAATGATTTTCATATCATTTATCTATGTTCTTAAAGATTATTTTCATGAATATTTATTGATGAAATTAATATATAACAAGCGAGAAATACGTTCAGTTATCAGTCAAACGGCAAGGAAATTTCTCCGGCAACATAACACCGGTATGACCTCTTAAGGTCACATCCGATGTAAAAAACACAGCGGGCATAAGGATGACATGAGCCAAGTATGGTCCAGATTTGCCACATGGTTAGAGATGATTTTTCAAATAAAAATAAACTGCTTCGCCGAGCGCAGCTGGATACGACCGCAAAGGTCCAACCCTGAACAGTTGGGGCAAAAATGGACACAATATTCAAGCTTGATACAGGTCTG